AAATTTTAATTGATACCAATATGAAATTTTTATTTAAATATTTGAATGAACTAATATATTTTTAACTATATACACATCTCTTTCACTAAGTTATTGAAAATCTTATATCATTGAAATGAGACCTTCTATATTCCTCCTGCAGTCTATGGATTTGTTCATTTGCGCTCAATTTTCACTGTTACTCAGGCATAGGGAGCAAGAATTCCATATGGAAAACTAAAATATGAATTAGCTTTCGAACTGAATTTAAAATAGATGAAGACACTCTATTTTTATTTTAATGACTTCTGTAGACACACAGCATATATGGCTATTATTTATAAAAGCGTCAGGCTACCAACCGAGGTAAAGAGCTTTAAAACATAAAGTGAAACATATCTCACCAACTAATGTGGTAGACAATCAACTTCCCACTCACAACGGCCTGGAGATAGATACACCTTTTCATGCCTTGTATTCATCCTGGGATACTTTTACTCCCTCTGGAGCGCTTTTGAACTTGGATTTGACATCTCTTAAATGTATGCTCTCTCTAAATGTAAAGGGGCTTTCTTTTCTTACAGTTTGTAGCCTTACGTGGAGTTCAAGTCTAACATAGATTAAAGAGAAGTACTCTAGGCCTTAGAAATTCAATGTTTGTTCTTGATCTTTTTTCCCCCCCTTTTGTTTTTATGAGGTTAAGCTAAAAACCCCAAAGTGGAACATAATGGCTTTAGAGACAGGAAGGAAATATTCTTTATTCTTTTTTTATATTGTAAAAAGCCCACAAGGCTCTTTTGTAGAAAGCCCACAGTAAAAGCATTCCCTCAAAAGCCACCTTTTTCTTCTTAATAGTCTTAGTGGAGACAGTGTTCAGAAACGATGACAGCACCAAGTGCTGCTAATGTTAGACTCTGAAATGAGCTAAGTGGTTTATGACCAAAACCCTTGTTTACGCTATACCTGTCAAAATAGGGAATTGTTTTCACTATTAACATGCTGTTTAAAGGCCACTGTTTCTCAAATTCCACAAGAAAATATTTGCCCACCTCCAAGGAGAAAAATAATGTTGAGACTTCTCAGCCACAGATAATGAGAAATAATCGGCATGATATCACTGACAAAGGAAAATAGGAATTAAGAGAATGAGAAACGTCTGGAGTATGGATTCAAAGGAGGGAACATCATCATTTCTGCCTATCAGTTTAAGATATGGCTTACAAATTTAAAAACAGAGAGCCATAAAACGTGGCATCTACTAGGATTCATATAGCATCAAATTTTAAATCTGTATCCACATTAGCAAACTACAAGTGAAATTTACTTACTCAGCATCCTGAGTATTGGTTATTTTATATGCCTTATGACAAACAATCCCCAAATCAAAACAACTAAAAAAAAAACACACCAAAACCAAAAAAGAATGCAGGAGAAAGGAATTACAATGATTCCCTGTTTGATGTAAAACATATAGACATCTGGAGGTACATAACTTGGCACGATGGAAGATTTGTGTTTCCCTCCAAAAACAATGTTTTATAGCAATAGTTGGCATTTTCTTTACCAATTATCTTAATTCCATACTTCAAGTCCTGGAAATTTAAAACATACTCTAAGCGAGGAAACACTGCATGGTTCAAAATTGGGAAGGGCATATGCCAGGGATGTGTCCTGTCTCCATACCTATTCAACTTGTATGCAGAACAGATTAGCCGGGAGGCTGGGATTCATGAGAAGAAATGTGGGGTCAAGATTGGTGGAAGATCTATCAACAATCTGCGTTATGCAGATGACAGAACCCTACTTGATGAAACTGAGGAGGACCTGAAGCACTTATTGCAGAGGGTCAAGGACTGTAGCCGTCAGTATGGGTTGAGGTTCAATGTTAGGAAGACAAAGATTTTCACCACTGGACCAAATGGCAGCATCAGGATGGATGGTGAAGAGATTGAGATCATTAAACGCTTTAGTTTGCTTGGCTCCACAGTCAACATTCTTGGCTCCCACAGCCAGGAAATTAAAAGACGTATTGCGATGGGAAGTTGGCTGTTAGGGACCTCTCCAAAGTACTGAAGAGCAACGGTGTCTCTCTGGAGACTAAGGTGTGTCTGATATAGGCCATGGTCTTTGCTATCACTTGTTATGCATCAGAGAGTTGGACAATGACTAGGGAGTATAGAAGGAGAACTGATGCCTTTCTTTGAGCTGTGGTGCTGGAGAAGAGTATTGAGGATACCATGGACTGCTAGGAAAACAAACAGATTCATCCTGGAAAGGGTCAAACCGGGCTGCTCCTTGGAGGCAAGGATTCTGAGGCTTCGTCTAACATACTTTGGACATGTTGTAAGGAGGGACCGGTCTTTGGAGAGGGACATCATGCTTGGGAGGGTGGAGGGGCAGCGCAGGAGAGGAAGGCCCTCTATGAGGTGGATTGATTCAGTGACTGGGGTAATCGTGATGGGTGTGTCAGAGACAGTGTGATTGGCACAGGACAGAACAGAGTTTAGGGCTGTTGTACATAGGGTCACTAGGAGTCACAAGTGACTTGACGGCACATAACAACAACAACTCTAATCCTTGAAGGCAAGGATTTTGAAGCTTTGTCCAACATAGTTTGGACATGTTGTAAGGAGGGACCAGTCCTTAGAGAGGGACATCATGCTTGGAAGGGTAGAGAAACAGAGAAGGAGAGGAAGACCCTCAATGAGATGCATTGATTCAGTGACTGGGGTCATCACGGTAGGTCTGTCAGAGCCAATAAGATTGGCACAGAATAGAGCAGGGTATAGCGCTGTTGTACATAGGGTCCCAGGTGACTCGATGGCATATAACAACTACTCCTCTATATGACCAAGATCTACCCTTTTGAAAATTTAATTCCATTTTCTACAACAAACATACAGTCATTTTAGGTAAAACCAACATTTTCCTCAAATATGGTGGGATAATTACATCAATATTTATAGCACATTTTTAAGATTGATGACTCTAACAATAGCTTTACATTTCAAATGCTATGTTACAAGCTACAACAATCACAACCATAGGGTACCCAGGTCCTACCTTGAACAGTCAGAGTGGCTGATGCTTCAGCTTTTCCAACCATGTTTTCTGCAACACAAGTGTATGACCCCATATCACCAGCCAGCACCTTCCGAATTTTCAAAGTATGATCATCTCGAATTTCATATCTAATGATTAAAAAGAGTAAAGAAAGAAAAATTAAGAGACTTTGTTACTTAGAGATCTCAGCATTACAAAATTATATGCCTGTATTATACAAAGCAGAATCTTTAGATAATTCAATATAAATTAACGTAAATAATGGCTTTGCTATAAGTCAACAAAGGGATAGAAGTCTGTTAATTCAGATATATAGGCTAACATACTATGTGTTACAAGAAAATCTGGGGGAAAGGTAGCATTTATTCATTTGTTTCCTAAGAGATATTTAACTGTCTTCTTACAATGCCAAAAAAACAAAACAAAACAAAAAAAAAAAAAACTTTTGCAGGTTTTCTTTTAAAATTCTTATATTCATATGAAGTTAGTATTAAATTCATCTCTATTTTGTAGATGAGAAAACTGAGCATAAGAAAATAAGGTCAGCAGACTTGAGAACCTAGAAGAATATTCTTTTACCTGTAGAGCTAATATACAATTAAGGGCTAATATTCTTCAAATGTGGAAAAGATCATGTGTAATATTCAATATAATTTTTCAAGCCATTGCTTTGACTTTCATCATATGACTTGGCAAAACTATACTAACTATACTAACCCACTAAGAGGATTGGTTAGCTTGCTAATAAGGAATTTGATGCAAATTATACCTTTTGGGTGGGTACACACTAGTCAACAAGAGAGTTGGTCAGGTTTACCATTTTACCAGGCATAAATATAATGGGTTCAAAAGCAAAAAATGGGACTCTCATTGCCAACAAAAAAGAAGCAGAGAATGAAACAGCATTTTAAGCCAGAGATTCCTCTACTAGATAAAGACCCAGCAGCAGCAACAAGCAGAACAGGGGTGAAATAGGGACAAAAGACAGGCAGAGCGAAACGAGAACTGCAACCTCACAGACCTTGAAGAGTCAGGAGTTTTCACCTCCAACCTTAACCTGAGCTTATGTGTCGAGCGTTTATAGCTGGCACAACTTAAAAGAACTTTGTAACACTGGCCCAGAGTCTTAAGCAGGACCCAATGAGGTTGAAGATTAGAGGGAGATGTGCCTGTGATTACAGTTGAGAAGATCTAGCCTACGTGAAGAATTTTATCTTGACCGTTACTGAATGGTTACCCATGGTGGACAGTGCTTGGTGGAGCTTCCCGATTAAAACAAGCCTCCAGAAACTCTATGAACAGTGCTCCCAGGCCTTTCATTCATAGGGTCGCTATCACTTGATGGCACCTAACAATAACTTCCTTATTGGAGTAGATGGCCTAGTGGTAAGAAGCAGCACTGCAATCCCAAAGGCATGCAGTTCAAATTCACCAGCCGCTCCACAGGAGAAAGATGGGTAATTTCTTCCCAATCCATTGACTGTTTCTGAAAACCCTCTGGAGGGTCAACGATGGGTCACTTCCTGAATCCATCCTGCGGGTTCACAAGTTCTAGAGAGGGATCGGTGTGGATAGAGACAGGGACACGAGAGATGGAGGCAAGTCAAAGTTCTCTGATCAAGGCTCAGAGTTTATTCGGAATTCTGCAATAAATAGGCAGCTGAGGAGGCCGGGCTGCCAGGGAACCCAGCCCTATGCTATCAGTTTACAATAGAGAGGGAGGGGCATGCCCGGGGTGGTGGCTGCATGTCAGAAGTGTTATCTGTGGCAAAGCTAAGATCTACTCAGGATGGCTTCCTACAAGTTCCAATTCAATGATAAACAACAACTTCCTTACTAAATCCCATAATTGTGGATAATCTCTTTGAGTTCTGTGTGGCTACTGTAATGGATTGTTGTTGTTATGTGTCCTTGAGATA